ATACATAATTGATTGTTCTAATAAGATCGTAATATTTAAGAGCTTTAAAAAAGCTTATTGTTATTGTGAAAGTACAAAATATATTTTGTGAAATCAATGTATGTATGTATACTTATTTATAATTAGAATTAAGTTATTCATTTAAATATTTACATTTGAATAATTAATTGCAGCGGAAAATATAGGGCAAAAATCTGCATGATGAATTAATGCCATTTTGACTAGTTCAGCAACAAAAATTATTTTGTTAAATGAATCATGGGTTAAGATATTAACATATGTACATATATAAATATTAGCCTGTTTACAACATTACAAGGGAAACTTTTATTATAGCAAATAATTCAATTTAATCTATATATACATGTTTAGAAAACATAATCACAATTCAATTACTGCTATAATATGCAATAAAAGCTATATTGGATTTCGCTAAAAGTGTGCCCATAAACATTTCCTTTTAGGTTCCGACAAAAAGCAATTAATAAACGGAATTAAGATAATTTCTCGATTAATCCATATTACCTTAAATTCAAATTTATTACATACATACGTTATGTACATATATATATTGTAATTTCAATTGATGACATATGTAATTTAATTATCTTGGGCCCTATGTTTGAGTAAACATATATAATTTACATACGTTATATATCTATATGCACACATACATTATACTGATGCACATTTTTACAAAAATAAACAAAAACAAAAAATTGTTTTGCTAACAATAAAATTCGATGTCGCGACAATCATTTATTACATTTATTATAATTTTTGTACATCGTAACGTTAAATATATGTATATATATATAAGTGAGTATACAATGTAATTTTCACGCTGAAAATTCTTTTTAATTGCAGGAAATTATAGCTAATATGCGTTTTTTTCACAAAATTTTAAAATACACAATATTATTCAATATTATTTGTATGACTTTGTTTTTATGTGTGCGTTTGCATACACTATAAATGTACATACATTCATACATACATATGTATACAATACAGTACTGATTCGAAAAAATTAAAATTAGTTTTGAACTGTCAACACTCTTTATATTTTTCTCAAATTATTTATTTAAATTTATTATTTTCGACTATATTAATAAATAGAGCCTTTTTATACCCGTACGAACGTATGTTCGAAGGGTATACTAAATTTGCCTTACCGTTTGTAACGTTGAGAAATAACGGTCTTGGATATAGACTCAAATGTATGTTTTTTGTCAGCGTCGAACTCTGAGTTGATTTAGCTTTGTCTGTCCGTCCGTCCGTCCCAATGATAACTCAAAAGCTAATTGAGCTAAGTTCACCAAATTTTCACAAATGATTTATTGTAGTAAGTGCCAGAACCCTATTTAAATTGGACATGATCGGGGTACCGGTTCGGGTAGCTGCCATACAACTTCAAAAGTTATTTGACTATATCTCAGAAACTATAAAAGCTATTGTATTGAAATTTCACACAAACGAATATATTAGTAGGGCCGATGTGGTTGAAAAAAATCGTTAAAATATCTTGGCTCTTTCTGGTAGCTGCCGTACAACTTCAATAGTAATTTTGAACACACAGTATTTTGAAAAACACAGTACTGAAATTTTGCATAACTCTATTTTTTCTCATTTAAATGGGATCTCAATTTTATATTAAAAATTTTATATTAAAAAACTTTCATTTTGACATTAATTTTCTTCATTAAAAAATTTATGTCAAAATTAAATTTTTCTGTTGTATACTGTAATATAGCGCTTACAACTTACATACTTTTGTATACATATTTCTATTAGTTGGTTAAGAAAAGCAAAAAAGCTTTTTTTAAAAATTCAACAAATTATTGAACATCTTTTTGTTGATGTTGTAATATCTTTATATTAAATAATATAATAATAGTAATTGAAAAAAAAAAAACTATACAAAACTAAAAAAGTTTACAAGCGAAAAACTGCATAAAATATAAAAAGTTCATTCAACTTATGACCTTTTTCGCATATTTTTAGGGTATTATAAGTTATGTTGTGTCTATCTGTGTGGTTTTTTATAAAATATATATATATATATATATATAGGTGTGTATGCATATACATTCTTATCGAATGCAATAGAAATTTCAGTCACTAAAACGATTTAATTGCATTAAGTTAAAATAAAAAACAAAGTAAAAAAAAAAAAACGTTTTCTTTGTGATGAAAATGTGTGTAAATAATATTTATGTATGTTTGTTTATGCACATATGCATACAGGTATAATAACGCAACCGTGTATATATGTATGTATGTAAATATTAATAGATAATATAAAAAAAGCTTTTCTCAAAATAGTTTTTTACACTTTTGTTTTCTCCTACTTCTTTGAAAAGATTAAATACAACAGCGTGGTATGGCATGGTGAAGCATAATATTCGTAAATACTTAAAAATAATATACGAGTGCATATTACACACATTTATGAATCTATAATATTAATAGATTATATTTCAGTATTCGGCTCGTACATATTTTGTTGTCTTATTAAACTATTACGTTTTCTTTGAAATTATTGTGCAACATTAATGCCCTATTGCTGATGATAAAATTTTATTCTAATAGTTTTTCATGTGTTTCATGTTTTTTTTTTTTTTGTATTATCAGATCTGTGTTATTTTTTTTTCTTATTTTGTATATATCAACATATACACATACACATTATATGTATGTATTTCGTTTCATATTTGTATTGTAGGTTGGTTATTTTTTTATTTTTTGTTAAATGATTGACTTAAAAACAAGAGAAAACAAAATTTTTGTTATGTCTACAGTGCAATCTAATTATATCGTAATTAATTTTTGAATAATTTTTTCGGAATAATGTATTAATTTTAATTAATTATGACATTTTATTTTGATTGTTTTAATCTATCTTAACCTATCACATGCAAATATTGCATAAAAATAAAATGGCATGTCTAAGTCTTATTCTAGTAGACATACATTCGGTATTTTTTACGTCATTCTATTGTCAATTGTTTTTTAACATCACTTGAGTAGTTTAAAAAGCATTTTTTATTGCCTCTATAAACAGGATTACCAAAAGTGCATATTTGAAGTGTTTTGGGGTGACCTGACGTAATCTTTTTGTGACGTCAATGACACAACTAACAGAATATGGGAGAATATTTTTATGAGTAATAAAAACTGATATTAGAATGAAATTGTGCTATAATCGAAATTAAATCAGTTAATAAATCTTTACATATTTGAATTTAAACGAGAAGTAGTGTGTCTCGCCTTAAAAAAGAAGGAAACTGTAAATTAGCAGTTTATAAGAAGGTGCCCAGTAAAAAATATAGGTGTTTTATTTAATTATATTCTATTGTTAATTTAATTTAAAATTTATGTTTACGTGATAGGTTTTTTATTTTGTTTACTTTTTTTCTTTTTCACATAAAAAATTTTTAAAGCTCTGAAACTATTTTAAAAGTAAAGAAACCCAAAGTAATGTTTAATTATTAAATATAAAAAACATAAAATAACCATAAATATTTTTATAAAACTTTGTGTGGTTTTCATTATTGAATACGTTTTAATTTGAAATTTTTAAAAATTTTCAAAATTTGATCTACTTGAATACAAATTTTATTATTAGTAGCTCTCATATTAACCCAGAAAACAAAGTATGATAAACCAACCAGAATACAGCGAAAAAGCATGATAATGACATTTAAAAGTACTCATTGATCATCCAAAAATTCATCCAAAAATTCATTGTCAAAAAACAAAAAAGAATAATATTTGTTCTTTAACGTATGAAATCAGTGATGGACTAGGCACTAGTAGGACAATTATTCGAAGTTAAATTCCTTATAAGTAGATAGGAAAAATGTATATGTTGACCCATCTATCTATATTTTGTACCTTGTATTCTATGCTATCATGACACAAATTGAATTTTTCTTCGACTTGCATTTGAAAAGTGCATATTTTACATAATTCAATTATTTTTTTGTTTAACAAGTAATTTTATTATGTTTAATTTTAGTATTTTATTTTCAATAACTTGAAACCTGAAAAATGAAAACAAATCAGGTATTTTTTTTTTCGTTTTTGTTAATGAACATATTTTTTTTTTCTTTTAAATAACATTAAACAAACAACTTATCTGGCAATGAATTTTCCCACCATTTAGAACGTTGATTTAACAAAAAAAAAAAAATTTCATAACTTCAAACAACTACATAGGTATCTGTTTGTGTTGGTAAAATTACAATCAATTTATTGATATTTACACCAACTGAAAAATATTTTCAATTTCAAATTTTTTTGCTTTTAATTCATTTGAAAATGAATGGAAAATTTGTTATAGTGTAAAACTATTAAAAACAAAAAATGTCACATAATTTATTCAAATGGTATGGGTTCCAATAAAGTATTTTATAATGACTGACTTTTTAAGTAAAATTTAAAAATGCTTGCTAAATAATTTTATTTATTTTACTTTTTTGCTCCACATATTTAAAAAATTATATTCTGAAGTAAATTTATCTTTTAGCATCAAAAACAATCGGTAATCGAAATCTGTTATGACTAAAATTTGAAAATCGACAATTAAATAAATTTTAAACATATTTTCCTGAAATTCTTTAATATATTTCCTTTAACTCGTTCCTTTGATTACGTCTGCCATTTGTTCGGCAATTGTATGAAGAAATTTCAATTATGTATTCTCTAATATATATTCTCTAATATATTTAAGTTTAATAAACTATACAACATAGAGCCAAGTTAATGATATTCTTAAAATAATATTTTATTAAACCAGATGATTTTAAGTTGAAACTATGCTCGGATATTATTCAAAACATTTCTAATCAATCGGAAATTTTGTTAAAGGATTTTCTTCAATTTTTTTTTTTGCTATAGAAATCCAACATATTGTTTATATTTTATTAAAATAGTTTTACAGAATTTTAGATTGTACAAGATAACATTATAATAATAAATTTTTAATATATTTTTAGGGGACGTAAACGATTTGTATCTGAAGGAGATGGAGGCCATATTAAACCACAAACTATTCCATTGCATTAAAATTACTAACGATGATGATGATCTCAAAATGATATCGCAAAAAAATTTCTTCAATATAATTACATAATATTAATTCTTGATTGTTGTAAAAACAACTTAAAAAACGGAAAAATTTTAAAATGGCAAAAAAAAATAAAATAAAATTTTTCTAAATAATCAAGTTAATAAGAGCAATTTAAATATTAAATTTGTATTGAATCTACATAAAAGAAAATATTATAAGTAGTACTCTAAAATAACCATACAAAGGAAAAATTCAAATACATTTAGAAATAATTTAAAATAAACAAAAACGATTTAAAAAAATCAGACAAACAAAAAAAAAATTTGCTGATATAAAAAGTTTTATAAATAAAAACAAAATTTCTTATACCTTAAAATTTATAGGATCAATAACAAAATAATCCACTAAATTGCAACAAAACTGATAAGATAAAAACATAAAATTAAAAAGTAAAAACAACATTTAAGAAGACTACTTTTTTTAATAATTGAATTGATAAAACATAGAATATTAAACACAAATTTGAAAAAAAAAAAACAAAAACAACAATAATAATTTAGAAGAATAAAAAATTGTTTCTTTTATCTATAAATATAAAAATAAAAAATTTCAAAATTATGTATAATTCATTTAACTCCAACTCTAATAACATTACCCTTTACTAAATAACGTACATAACTTGAATGAAATTAATTAAACTAAGCTGTTGGTTAATTTTCAGACCACTTTCAAAGAAATGACACAATTGTATACATATTTTTTTGTTTATTTATTTAGAATACTTCAAACTCAGTGTTGTATGTTTTTCTAATCGAGTTTAAATTTCAAGCGCTTTGTCTTTATTTCATCTCAATGGTAAGATGAAGAAAATATAAAGGTTATGAGGTTTATAATAAAAGATGTAAATATTAAAATTTCTGTTCCATAGGGTAACAAATTATGATTTGAAACGTATCTTCATCTTAGATTTCAAAGTGAAAATTTTGTTTCCTTCAAAAGCAATCAAAAACGATTTTTAATTTTTAATAATTATAATATCTATTATATTTTTAGAAAAATAAGAAACATCATATTCTTAACTCCGAAGTGTTCTGGTAAAATAAATCCATCTCATCAATTAACTTTTAAGAACTAACGTACTTAAATAAAAAATAGAATAAGAACTAAGAGGGTTCCTTTTACTTGCTTAGTTTTTTATTTTTTTTTTTAATACTACTTACATGAATAATTACAAACATTTATTTGCGCATTTCATTTCTAACTGAAATCTTAAATATCTTTTGCACAATTTCAGATTTTCAAGAACTAAAAATTTTTATTTCTATAAATTTGTCTTCCATGGCGACCAATATCTAAGATAGCATTAAGCTCACGAACTGTTTGCTATTTATCTTTGCTAAATGTAACCAGTAACAGCAACTTATTCACCCATATTCTTGTAATTGTATCACATAAAGTAATATCATAACGATATCTTTGATTTTAATAAATTAAGGCCAATTTGTGTGAAAAAGAAATCATGAATTGGAAAGTATGGCTATCATGCTGTATTTTATTACTATATATTTAATTAGACAATATTTTTTTTGTAAGATTCAAACTTTAACGAAAAATCATAAAAAGACTAACATATACATACAGATATTAATTTACAAGTAAAATTTCAACTTATTCAAAAATTGACGCCAGTTATTTTTTTAGAAAATATAAGGCAAAAAAGGTAACCATTACCATTTCTCTTAAAACAAGGATTATGTTCCGTAAATGACTTCATATGTGAATATGTAAATGGTTTAATTTAACTGCCTGTGTTTTTTAATTTACTTGTTTTTACTACCTTATTTTCTTTTTACTACCTCTTTATTATTCATCCTAAATATATGCAAAAAAAATTTAATTACTATCAAAAATTACATTTGTACACTTATATTAAAAACATAATGCGTGTACAAATGTATGAATGCTTTTTTATAAATTTCATAATATTGTAAAAATTAATAAAAATATATTCCTTTCGCCTTTAATTCTATTTTATCTACATACATATGTATGTACAAATAGATACATATGAATATTGTGCCTAATATATTATGATAAAAAGAATGAATTTTTTTTAATATTAAGTCTTTAAATTTTAAATTTCACCTAAAAGTACGAATAAAATGTTCACAAAAATTATTCAAAGACGAGGCGGCCCATCCTTCTAGCGGGTTCGCCAATTATAGAGTGCCCAGTTATAACTTCTATCACTGTGCCAATCTCACGACGAGAGAGAGACAGCATGTCCGTCGTGCGAAGCAAATCCAGGGCTCCAAGTGTAGTTCCATGCCTCGCGAGTTCATTCGCTGTGCAATTTCCTTGGATTCTGCTGTGATCCAGAATCCAAACCAAGAACATTTCGAACGAAAATCTTAGTTTTATAATTTTTGTCACATCATCTTGTGTTAAAGTACAGGTCAGGATACTGGAAATACTTGCCGTAAAGAAATTTTATGAACTTTAAAATGAGTACAGTAAGATGGCTTTGCTTGTCATATTTCTCGAGTGAAAATGTGTAAGAATGTTAAAAATTTAACGGTTTTGAGAAGGAGAACCCAAAACGCAAAATGTCTTCTAGTAATTTTTGTTCGCCTGGACGCATTTTATTGTGCTACTGGGAGTATCATCGAGTGTCGGAACCCTGTATATGGATGGAGCATCAGCAAAATTGCATGCAATTTATCATACATATGTCAAAACTGTATTCAAATAAAAATGTCTGCAGTGTTATTCAAGAAAAAACAAAAATAAAACTCATAACCGAAAATGTATTGATATTCAATAATGTTAAAATCAAGTAAATTCTAGCTGTGAATTTCCAAATTACTTTCGCTTAAAAGAGCGATTTAAATTTTTATTACCATAAAGTGATAAACTTAGTCGTATGACTAAATTTGTGATAGAAATGACATACCTTGAATAAACAGTGTCATAAATTTGTGCTTCTTCTGAAATGTGTCGAAAAATTTTTGCTTCTTATTTCTATTTATTTTAAGTCTGTCTTATATAAAACTTGAAAAAACTTAAAAAAGAGGAACAATAACGTAATTTCTCGAAAGAAAACATATGAAACCATTTGCGGACCGGACCTATTTTGGTTATTGCATTTTTAATTAAAAAGTTTTGAAAAATAAGTTATTGTTGATGAAAATTTTTTTTTTTTAAATTAAAACCTTCTGACATAACCAGGAAAAACATGTATTTCGAGTTTTCGACAGTTGTAAGATTTTAAAAGTTTTTGAAACACTAAAATTTACTTTACAAAACTTAAAAAAACTTTAAACATTGAGAAAGTGGAAACGTCGTCATTCTCTTTCAATTTTGCACAAAAAGTCTGGTGTAATACACCGTACGCTTTGCATGCAGCTTTATAAAGTTTTAAAAAGTTTTTAAAAACCTTCTTATCCCAGACAGACCAATTATTTTGCTAATTTATTTCTATTTTTTCCAGATTTAAATAAAATTGTTGCATATAATTTGTCAATTTGAATTTTGAATATGTAATGCGCTCTAACAATAAATCAATTAGCTTAAGATTGATTAATTAATACATCCCTGCTACAAAGCAAGGGATGTGGTGTATATTTGACATTTTGATGTCAAAAAGGCAAACAGCAAAACAATAATTATTGAAGTACAGAATTTCAATATAAATTTCTTTCATACACTTGTCCTTGACAATATATTTGTAATAAACAAAATAAGAGCAAAGACCCAAATTATTCAGAGTTTTATCCGAAAATTCTACAATTAATGTTACGAGAAAGATATGAAATTGAACTTTTTTATAATAATTTTGTTTTTCAATTTAAGCTTTGGGAACTTTAGTAAAGTCTGTAAGTAAATGGAGTTCATATAATTTTGCAACTTGTGTTTTAAACGTAAAATATTTTTAAGACCGACTGCAAGACAATGAGGTGTGTGCGAAAAAGAGATTGAAACAAACTTTTGATTTTTTTACCAACGGGCCAGAAATAAAACTTGGACGTGATAGGGATTCGGTTGCTATCATATCACAAATTTGGAATTCAAGTACCATGCAATCATTTAATATGATGTGCACATTTAACGTAAAAGTTCATAAGGATTATACTGGAATATATGCTGCAATTACTAAATTGAAATTTAGATCAGATATTTCTAACTCTTCAAGGAACTGTATAGATTACGTTGAATTTTCGAAAGGCAATAAAAATTTAAGTAGAAGAATTTGCGATGAAGTTGGAATTAATGGTCACACTGAAAGATTAATATTTGATGATAGAGAAAAAGAAATGAAAATCAAAATATCAGTTAATGATAAATATGTTGTAAGAGAACCATTGGAATTAGTTATTGTGTTGACATCTCATGGAAAATGTAAAAACGTAAAAGATGAGTATCAGTGTGATCAGAGAGACGTGAATTCATGCATATCTAGTTTTTTTGTTGGAGATAATATACCGAATTGTATGAATAATTGCTCTGATGAAGCAAGTTGTTTTATGAGTGAACATGTCCGTAAAACTTTTGCCGAAAAAGTTGATTATTCCAATATAGCCATCAGTGCAATAACTTCTTTAATATTTACAATGTTTGCTGTGGGAGCTGTTTTATATACTTGTTGGAAGTACTGGTTTTTCTGTCAAACGAGATCCCCTTCGCCAAGCCCCGAAAACGTAAGTAGAAAGTTTTGTAATATGATCTATATAAAAAGGTGGATTTTTTAGGAGCTACCTGTAATAGAATTACCACAGTCCTCATTTAACTCGGTTATTGTCAGTGAAGAAATTCAAGAGAGACCGCCTTCACCTAAAGATCTACCACCAAGCTATGAATCTTTGTTTCCTGATAGATGAGTATATAGATTACAAAAATGTTTTAAACGTGGTAGCCTAATATTAAGTTGTTGCTTATAAAATATTTAAAAAAGCGGTTCAGACTGATGTTTTTTCCTTTTTTTATTTGAAAGACGAAGTTTATGAATGAAAAATTAAAATATTTCTTACTAAATAAGTGTTACTAAAGTGTTAAGATAAAATTGCGATATATCTACTGTAAAAAAATAAAGTAACTCAATATTTTGTGTATATACTTGAATGTAAATAATTATCTAAAAATTATGTTTTTATTTAAATTACGTATTAATTGTTCGTGATGTAACATTATATTAATAAGTAGGGCGTTTTATTTTAGTTGTTATTCAAATTTTCTTTATTTGGCATTATGAAAGCGCCTTTCAAGTTCATTTTAAATTTGCAATAAAAAATACTATTAACTCAAACAAGCGCTTAAAATTCCGTTTTACATAACACAAAAGTAGAATTTAAAAAGTTTTACTCAACTATAATATAAATTTTCTTATACAGTAATTCTTTTCAAATAAGAAATTATTGTATATTACTTCCAATAAGCTTATTTTTATAAGCTTATTGTAAGTCACTTTCTGATATCACATCCGCCTGGGTTCAATCAACGCGTTTTAATTGTTGATTACATCCTCTGCTTTTTATGGAGTATGTAGGTACATATTCTATAAAAACTTGCGAAACTAAATTAATTAAATGTCACAAAAGGTATAACTATAATAAGTAAATAAAATTCTGAAATGAATACTTGTCTAGTAAATATAATGTACTTTTTCTTTTTAAACCGGTAGTTTCCGCTATTTAATATGTACCGATTTATAATTTCAAAATTCTATCACAAGAAAGGTAGCTGTTTAACAGTAAAGTAATACTTGTAAGCTATTAAAGTATGTATTTTTATTTTTTATTTTAATTGAGTACTTAATTTATTTAAAATAATAAATAAGATAGTTATGGTAAGTTTTTAAAATTATGTAGATTTAACTTTTGTAAATTTTGCAATATCCATAAAGATGAAATATTACATATACTACAAAGCTTGTGTTGTAATTTAACGAAGTTAAAATATTAAATTATTGTCTTATTTAATGTACTGGTTAATCATCAGAAGGAAACACAAATTAATTTTAAAAGGATCTGGTTTCGAACTTTAACTAATTAACTAAAATTCCAAATTCTAAAATAAAAAAGAAAATAATGAATTCATTTAAGAATATTTATGTATTTAAAATAACCTTCTTAATATTATGTCGAGTATGTCATTTATTAAAATGGGTGAAATACAAAACACAAAATTATTGTATTAAACAAATATATCTTATTTTCTTTAGTAATCGGCTACAAACTTAAATTATATTCAATTAACTTTTTTGCTGTTGTACGGGTCCTTCACCATTCATAATTGCTTTTATATCTTCTGCATCTAACGTTTCATATTTTAATAATGCTTCAGCTAAAGCCTTATGCTCTTTCGAATGCTGTTTAAGAATAGCCTTTGCTCTCTCGTAACTTTCATTTAAAATTCTTTTAATTTCTGCATCTACGGTTTCTGCTGCACTTGGTCCTAAACTTGTTCCATTAACAATGCCTTTTGGACTTTCAATTGTACGTAATCCGCATTTTTCAGACATGCCCCAATCTTTCACCATATGTGTAGCTATAGATGTAGCCTGCTTCAAGTCACTGCTCGCCCCAGATGTTATCTTATCTAAACCGAAAATAAGTTCTTCTGCTGCTCTTCCACCCATCATAGTGTCCATCAATGCCAATAATTGAGCTTTCGTGACGTGATATTGCTCTTTTTCAGGAATATATGCCGTGTGACCCAGAGACGGCCCCCTTGGCATAATAGTAACTTTATGCAAAGGGTGTGATCCTTTAGTATAGTAGGCTACAATGGCATGCCCTCCTTCATGATAAGCTGTTATTTTGTTAGCTTCTTCATCTGGTAATCGGGCTTTTCTTTCAGGACCCATAAGTACTTTATCTCTAGCGGTTTCTAAATGTTTCATTGTCACCGTATCAGCACCATCTATAGCGGCCCTTATAGCAGCTTGATTAACCATATTTTCTATATCTGCTCCTGTAAATCCCGTTGTTCCCCGTGCAAGCATATCTATATCAACTTCGTCATGCAGCACTTTCGATAAATACAATGTGAGAATTTCTTTCCTTCCAGAGTAATCAGGAGTAGGTACGACGACTTCTACGTCAAATCTTCCAGGGCGAAGCAAAGCTTGATCAAGATCATCCCTGCGATTTGTTGCCCCTAAAACAATTACCCCTTCATTTTGGTGAAAACCATCCATTTCAGAAAGTAGCTGGTTAATGGTTTGATTTGCATAAGGATGTAAAACTGAATTTGTACGTTTGCCACCTACGGAATCTATTTCATCTATAAATATTACACATGGAGCTCTATCTTTGGCCGCTTTAAAAAGATCTCGAACCCGTCTTGCACCTTGTCCTACTAAAACTTCATCGAATTCGGGACCTGCCGCATGAAAAAATGGAACACCAGCCTCACCTGCAACTGCTCTGGCCAACAAAGTTTTTCCAGTACCTTAAATTTTCATTTTTAGAATAAAAACTTGTACAACTGAAAACTACCTGTTTACCTGGGGGTCCCACCAGGAGAACTCCTTTCGGTAATTTTCCGCCTAAATTAGAAAATTTTTCAGGGCTTTTTAAAAACTCTACAACCTCTTTGAGCTCTTGCTTTGCTTCATCGCATCCTTTAACATCATCGAAAGAAACACTTATGTCTTCTGGATCAATTTCTACTTGATTCCCCAGTTGAATTCGAAAAACACTTCCACTAGTAGAACTAAACATACTTATAAGGATAGCTAAAAATACCACAATTATCAAAAGTTGTTGAAATACTTTTAAGTATTTCATAGCTCTTCCTGATTTTTGTGGACCACCGCCTTCAGTGTTATTAGCAGCTATATACCCTTCGGCGAATGCAACTTTTAATTTTTGATTTTCATCTAAATTTGTACTTGCGTTAACATCCTTTAAAAATTTATTCATTTCCGTGTTAGCAAGTAAAACTTGTGAAGCAGGATTTGCGCCCTTCATAGGTTCGGAGCCTCCGCTAAACATTTTTCGAATTCTCACTAAAATGCTAGGGTTACGTTTACGTTCTGCGTCCTTAGACCTATCAGTCTTAAAACTGCGAACAAAAGTGGAATTGCCCAAATTCGTCAATGGAAGAATTGATATCCCTACTTTATTTTCGTTAAAAGAATTGAAGGACATATAGTTAGTTGAGTAATCACGTTGCATTTGCTTTGCAATTCCACTGAAGCGAAAGTCACTACTTAAAGCATTATATGTCAATATTTTTTGGAAATTCGTTTTTGATAAAATACCAGGTTTTATCTGCCACAATGTCACAGATCCTGGAGCTACTTTTAATAATTCGTCACATTTATGCTTCTTTGCTTTTCTTCTTGAAATATTACTTCTTTTTGGACTGAACGCGCCCAACTGGCAAAGAATTTGGTTATTGATATTAAGCGAAAGCATTCAAAAATTTTAAATATTCGATACTAATTATGAAATTTTTGTAGGGACTCGTTTATTTTATTTTAATAAAATTTGACATCTGAAATGGCAATTACTTGACATTTACATAACATTCATCAAAACAGTCAGCAAATTTTAAGTCTGTTCAAACTTCAATGCAAGTAGTTCCTAAATTCATTCTATACTATATTAATTATGCAAAAAAACATAATTTTTGTTTTTTACATAAATAAAGAATGTAGATCTACAATGTATAAAATCTAGATAAATACAAAAAAATATAATTTTTTGTACAACCATTAATTACATAAAGAAAACAAAGTGCTTAGAAATGTGGTAAAATTAATTTGAGCTTCAACAATGGCAGTTCATACGTCAAATATTGTTTGCAGATTTTGTGTAATGAGGATTGGATAGATTAATTAAAGCATGAAAATTATATCATATTTTAGCCAAACCGAACAAAACATTTAGGGTTTAGTGATCTTACATTTAAGAGTTTTGTTTCATTGCGCAGATAAGGCCACTATCCCATATGCAGTTTATAATTTTGCAATTACTAAAAACTTTAAAATTTAATTGTAAATTCATGACGTGAATTTATAATCAGAAAAACTGTTGAATTAATATAAATTAAATGTGTCAAATAAAAATAATGCAATGCTATGTTTACAAATTAAGCATAATTGTACGATTTAGTTTGAAACGATTAAAATTTGAAACATATTTGATTTGTTCCAATCCATTAAAATTAAATTATATGAGAAAGATAGGATTTTGTCCTATTTACCAAATCAAGTTGGACTAATCGAACTTAACTAATTCGATTAGTTGACCAATTTTACTTGATATGTTTACATATTGCCTAAAATTTTAATTAATAGCAAATCTGAAAAATAATGTCGCAAATTTTGACAACCATCAGATTCAAAATTAGAGAATAAAACAAATTTAGAACGCTTCTTTGAAATTTCATCTTTGTATTGTGAACCCATTATTTGCACTGTCAATTTATGTAGTTCTAACCATTTAACATATTTATGTCAAAATGATTAATTTCAGTTAAACTTTTAAGTAAACTTAAGCTAATATGGCATCACTAAAATATGAAATTTCAACGTCAAAAGAGCAGCTGAGATGTCAGTACATTGTCAGTGGATTAATAAAATAAAAGTTAAATGATAATTAAAATTTTTGTAGTCTGGTAAGCAATAAGCATTTCGAGTATTATACGATTTAATTTATTTTTTGACGGAATATTTTTTTAATAACGTTGAATATAGTTTGCTGTTTTTCTATTTGGACACGCAACGTAACTTTTAGAATTTAAAACTTCTTTGGAAAACTATTAATTTTAAAAAAAAATTTGAGTTGTAAGAAAAAATTAAAAAAATTAAAAAAGTAATATTAATACCTAAATTTAAAATTTCATAGTGCTACGTTGTTAATTTGCAAATTAGTTCGCAAAAAAGAAAAAAATTAAATTTATTCAAAAATTAATTTTATTCAAAGAAACATTAAATTTTTGTGTTATAGTGAAAGAAAAAAATTTATGGTATATCCATTAAAATATTAAAATTACCATGTCCACCAATTTGCGACAAATCCCCTTAACATGCAGCGGACACACAAGACCTGTCGTTCATTTAGATTTTAGTGATGTTACGGACAGTGGATATTTCTTAATATCAGCTTGTAAAGGTAATATTAAATTATATGTATGTAAACACATTTTGTTGTAAAAAAAAGTAGGTTTCATTAGCTCTTAGAAACTTAAAAAAATTTTTTTTTATTTTAGATAAAAAATTACCTTGACCTATATAATTTAAGAAAATTTTTAAATCAAGGTTATTACACACACAATGTACTTGTCAGTAATGAAAATCACTCTATTTAAAAAAAAATTAAAAAAAAAAATCTACATTTGCATATATTTTCAAATATACCAGTAATATATAATATTATTTTAATTGAAAAAATATTTGCTGTTCTTCAGATAAATTTCTTTTGTGTAATTTTTACATTAAAGTGTTTAATATTATATTAATTCGGCTCATTTTTTTCATTGCTTTTGCAGGGAAATATAGCATAAGCTAACTCTATATAATTTATATAAATAGTAATTAAAAAAAAATAAACGTTAAATAAATTAATAAATAAAGTTAAATAAATCAATTTCTATCTAATTTTCCTAAAAACCGGTAGGTACCTCGGTAGGAAAACCTAAAAAAATTTATAACAAAAATATAAATTTATAGATCTTTATAATATTATTGTTACCTACATAAATAACATACATAGTTGCTTACTTACTATAAATTAAAAATTATAGTAAGTAATTAATTTCAATATAAATATGGGACTTAGGCATAAAATTTTTCCATTTATTTAAATCTTAAACTCTAACTAAATAATTGAAATTCAAACGAAGCATCTTATTAATTTGTATCCATCTAATTCTCCTCCAGGATGATCTTTGAATTATTTTATGAATTATGAAAACACGCATGCATACGCAAATTTACCGGTAAATGTGAATGTTGCAATTACTTTGATGTTATTCTCAAGCAACTTTATATAGAGAAAGTTCTGCTAAATAATGCAAATGTTGTAAAAAAAAATTCATAAAAAGCGAGATGCTTAATAAATATTAAACAAGATCATTACTTGGATTACACTTACACTCACTTTGTGAATATTTATATTAGCAAGTAACCTACGTTTTCTAAAAGTGTTTTACCTGAGTATATTTACAAACTCATAATAAACATAAGTTATTAATAATTGGAGGAAAAAGGGAGATTTTTAATTTTAGCTTTCTTTCTAATAATAATCCTGTTATTGCTACCTTTTAATAAAAAATTCTCGATACAATCAAATTTATTTTTTTTAAATTAGTCACTAAGAATCACAATCTGTAATTAGAATAATAATAATTGTAGTCTTTGATTCCGACTTACTTACATATTGTATATGTATGTATGCATGTATGGATAAGTATATCGAATAGGAAAACCCATTTTGCATAAACAATTTTAAAAATAGGAAATAAAAAGTTTTCTTTATTTTATACCTATCTACTCATATTTTTATATAATTATTATAATTACATTAAAGTATGATGTATCTATGTATGTATGTATATCAGTATGCACATATCGCGATATTATGTATTTAATTTTTAAATGCCAGCATTTTAAATTTCAAAAGCTTAGTTAAAATTATTATTTGCAAAAAACGTGTAATAAATATACTCGTAAGAAAGAATAGTATGAAAATACAATATCTAAAAGCTACTTATAAAACATTAATATTCAAAACTTTAATTTTGTTTTTATTACTTATACTTTTGTTTTGTTTTTCATTAAAAACAAAAACTTGTTTTTCATTGACTGCCTTGTTCTCTCATTATGCATTTACATTGGTTAAACTTTTGCGTTTACTAAAGTTGATTCGCTTTTACTCTAGTAGAGTAATGGCATTGATTAACTCAAAACACAGTCACCAAGTTAAGGTCTTTTCCGCAATTCATATATTATTTGTCATTTCTTTGTTTTTATTTATTCTGTTTAATTTTTTTTTTAGTATGTGTACGTTCTTTGTGAGCAATTAAAAATAAAATTTGTTATAAGTTTATTTATTATTCAATGAAAATACTTTTGTGAAATATATAAGATTTCTTGATTATTTCAATTCTGAGTAAGGAATTTATTTTAAGCATAAATATGAGGTTTTACAAATAAGTATATATAATAGATAGTAGTTAATTAATGCAGACATGTTGTATAAGAAAAATAAACCGGTAACTTGTTCCTTAAATCTTAACTTAATTATCGAAAAGCATAAAGTTTTAGCTAGTAAAATATTCCTGTAAAAATAAAAAATAAAAAAGAAATAATTGTGCTCAGTTTTTCAAGGTAAAGAAAGCTTTTATTGAATTAAGGTTATTTTAAAATTTTTCCTTTAGATATTATTTATCTACGCCTTTTTTTAAATATTGCACCTATTCGTTATAGTCGGTACTATAATAATCTTAAAGAAAATTGCAGTTTTGTACGTACATACACACATAACGTATGTACGTATGTACATAAAAAAACAAGCCTAAGTTTTTTTTAACCTTAACTTACAATTTACTTTCATTGGTTTTTGTTTTTTTTTTATTTTAGAAGTTTTTGCCAGACCGATCTTGAATCTCTAAAATGTATGGCATCAAAAGTAAAATCGTACTAAAATAAATTTTTTTTCAAATTAAAAATTGTGCTATTTTTTATGACCTAATTAATTTAATATTTAAAGAGAGCCTACTTTCTTACAATTTATAAAAAGTCAAAAGCAATTTAAACATTTATGCAACGAAATGAAACACAAAAAGGCTTCAAAATCATAATAACAGTTATAAACTTATGAAAAGGCATAGATAAGAATAAAATTCTTTTTAAATTTATATTAAATACTTATATTAAATATTAAATACTTCAAATTTGTATACCCTACATTATGTATGCAATTATGTATGCGTGTACAAATGTATGTATATAATAAAATAAATTAATACATAATTAATGTATTTACTATTTATGTATATACAAAATTGTTTTATTTGTAGATGGGAATCCAATGCTTCGACAGGGTGACACTGGCGATTGGATTGGAACTTTTGAAGGTCACAAGGGTGCAGTTTGGGGCGTAGCATTAAATAGAAATGCCACTTTGGCAGCATCAGGTGCAGCAGATTTTTCTGGAAAAGTTTGGAATGCAGTTACTGGAGCTGAAGTTCATAACTTTCAGCATAAACATATTGTTAAGACCGTAGCATTTGATAGGGGTAGTGAAAATTTAGTTACAGGAAGTAACGAAAAATTACTAAGAGTTTTCAACTTGGTGAATTTGGTAGATGACACTGAAATTTATACTGGTCATACGGGGGCTATTAAACGTGCTTTATTTTGTCGCAATGACAAATGTATTGTTAGTGCTGCTGATGACAAAACGGTTCGTTTATGGGATCGATTAACTGGAAGTGAAATACAACGAATAGATTTTGTAAATAACCCCAACAGTCTCGAATTATCGTCTGATAAAAATACATTAATTATAACCCATGGATCAAGTATTAGCTTTTGGGAAATTGATCCTTTAAAGAAATTAAAAGAAATCAAAGTTCCAACAAATGTTGCATCAGCAAGCTTACATCCTGATAAACATATTTTTGTTTGTGGCGGGGAAGATTTCAAGATGTACAAGTTTGATTATATAACAGGCAATGAAATCGGTAGGAAATATAAATCTAATAAAAACTTAAAACAACTTATCTGTAATATTTTTATTTTTAGAATCGTTCAAAGGTCATTTTGGGCCTGTGCATGCTGTGAAATTTAGCCCAGATGGCGAATTGTATGCCAGTGGATCTGAAGATGGGACATTACGCCTATGGCAAACTATTGTTGGAAAAACATATGGACTATGGAAATGCACTGAACCTGGAGAAATAAACAATGCAATATCATCGCCAAGAGAAGTCCATGCTAACTAAACATCACTGCCTTAAACGTTGAATTTTGATTTCTAAAAAGGATTGTATTTCTACTAATTTCCTTTTTACATATACATACATACCTACATACATATTCTTTTTTGAAGTTTAAATTTATAAAAATTCATTTATATTGAGATGGAAAGCTTCTAGCTTGATAAAATTCTCAAGTAAAAATCAAAATTGCATTGGTGACCATTTTTTAGGGACACTTTATTCATTTAAAGGCTCAGTAAACTAAAATCTCGTCAATATTTATTTGTACAAGTGCAAAATAAGCTTTAGCTAGAAACGGAATAATGTCTAATATTCATTTTAAAAAACACTTAAATTACAAGCTTTCATATTTTTAATATCACTACCATACTTAGTATTAAAATAAATGATATTAATTTTTGGTTATTTTGATAATTTAAGAATCTTATAAATTTTAGTTAATCCTTTCAAATATTATGGTCACAAATTACATTTTTGATTGTGTATTTTATATAAGATAAAATTTTTGATAATTGAGGGCATTTTAAAAAGTGCAGCCAAGGAAAATCGACATTTAATTGGGTAATCACCTGAGAGAATCGGATAATCAACAAAAATTAAAAAAAGTGAATATATTTTTGAGTGTATTTTCTTAAATCACCAAATGAATCAAACGAAAAAATAACTTGCATTTGGGATATTGAATGTAAAGAAAAATTTTAATACAATAAAAATTTTTTGAATGTAAATTTCCTATAAATTAAAATAATTTTAGCTTTTTAGATTAGCTTTCTATATCATATTCGTTTTGAATACCAGTTGTTTTCTTGATGATGAAAATTTTGCATATGGCAATATTTAAATTTATTTTTTCTTCATAAATTATTTGTATATCGTCATGAACTCAGGTATACATGTACATATGTACATACTTATAAATATCACAATCACAATATTTTTCTTCTTGCAATGCTTCTGAAGAAAACTAAATCAGCAAAATTCAGTTGGAAAAATATCCATATCAGCTTTAAAGCTTTTGAAACTAGAACAATTTGTTCGAACGAGTTTTATCTACATAGAGCACGTGTACAAAGTATTAACGCATCGATCAATAAGTCCGTACGATGGCTAATAAAAAAACAACATTTTGGCATAATTTGATTTTATGCATCAATATACATAGTCTTCTTTTAAGGCGATCCTCATTCGATCCGAAACCTCTTTCCCTGCAACATAATATTGAGATCTGAAAACAGCTAATAATCACTGGGGGTTAAATCAGGCGAGTACGGCAATTCATTCATTTTTACCATCGTTTGCATTGATGAAAGAGAAATTTTTTTCTTCATGTATGCTCGCTTTTAAACGATTACATCCTTCAATAATTCAAATAATGCTATGTAATATTCGCTGTTGATCGCTTTACCGTTTTCAATATCGCTTTACCGTTTTCAACGATATACCCTGGCTATCCCAAAATACGGAGCACATAACCTTGTCAGCAGAGGTTAGAGTCTTTAGGCGCTGTGGGCGGTTTTCACCGTTGGTGTCACTCAGCCAACTATGATATGACTTAGGAATGACGTAGGGACGCAAAAAATTCTTTTTATCACGGTAAAATAGGGCGAGACACGCCTCAGAATCATCAATTCGTTGTTGTTTTTGGTCCGTTGTTAGCAAACGCGACACCCATTTCGAACAAAGCTTTCTCATATCCAAATGTTCGTGTAATATAGTAAACACACTGTTTTCTGATATCTTTACGGCCTCGGCAATCTCCTTCAATTTCAATTTGCAGTCGAATAAGACGATTTTATGGATTTTTTTGATGTTTTCTTTAGTAACTGCCGAATTTGGGCGACCGGAGCATAATGCCGTCGTCACAAATAAATGGAAACAAATAATGTCAAAAAACCGCCTGCGGTAAAGTAGGAATTCGTCCTATTTTACCGCTTGATTGTGGACAGTCCCAGTTAAATATGTGTATTCTACATGAATTCTGAAATTTTGCCACGGGAAATCGTCCATGTTCTGTTTTCAACTTGAATAAAGAATTTCCCATTCATAGTTTTTCGCTTATTGAACTGAATTAATACATACATGTACATATGTATCTATATCGTGCTTTGTCAAAAACAGAAAGAAACATTTAAAATTGGTTACTTTTTCTTTGAGAACTTTTTGATTTTGAAAGTTTCATCAAAATATAAAGTTTTTGGTTTAGATCTTGGTTAGCTGAGAGTTTGAAATGTAAGTAAAATCGTGCAAATAACATTCGAAGCATCCCTGATTTAGATCAATAATATTCACTAGCTATGTTAATCATACTACTAAAGTTGTCAATTAACACAGTTACAATTGATTGCATACATTATTTGGAAGTTGCAAAAAAACGTTTGCATTACTGCACGCTCGCGGCTGATATTTTTTATAATACATATTTGTAGCTTTCAAATATAATTGTGACAATAATGACGACAAATGGCTACTGTAGGTGAGGTAACAAAATATAAATTAAATTTGAAGAATCACTGGTTTTTCGGATTTGCTATGAGCTAATTTGGTTTTTATGAAATTGACAATCTCCTTTTTTTAGTATAACTTTTTCTTTTTTTAAAAATTAAACTAAATTCGACATATTGCGGAGGTTTTTTTAAAATGTCAATTCTACTACTAGTTTATGTTCTGCATTACTGCAATTCAATATATAATAACTGCAATTCAATAAGTGTTAACTGCAATTCAATAAGTGTTGATTGAAATTATAGTATTTTAAAATAATAAATATGTAATTTCATTAAATTATTTAACTCTTTTTTTTAAATTATAATTTGATCGTTTCACGCTAAAGCGATTAAACTTATTTGTCAAAAGTCAAGAAATTGATCTTTTTGGCAACCTCATTAAACCATCTGGTTACTCCTTGTAACGTCATTTAAAAGTCAATTAATTATATCTACATAAAGCTTGAAACGAGAATTCCCAAATTTACTGTAAAAAAAACTTCGATTATTAAACGGTATAAAAATTTTGGAAATATTAGCCTTTTTTAAATTGGTGAATTATCTGTGAAATGTAAGAAGCAAATTATGATTTTACTCAATGTTGAGTTAAGCAAACCGTATTAATTAATAAATACAATAAGTATTGATAACTTAAATTGAAAGAACGAATTTTATCTACATACCTACATTAGGTGTACAAGTATTATTTGTCAATTTGTAATCGGAAATGAAGTAGACATTTTTCAGTAAATTTTATAAATCATAAAAATTATTTGCAATGGCTAAACGATTAAGTAAAAATTGTACATCCATATCCCATAATCCAAGCAACACTGAAATTGTACCAGAGGTAAGTAATAAGTAGTAGGCTCCTGCACAGCATTTTTTAGTCAACAAATTTTCAATAAGGAATATTAAGAATAGTATGTACGATGTATTTGCATACATACATAAGTATTTTGCTATTAAATAAAATGGAAAATTATAGTAACAAAATTATAAAATTAAGAATGTACATTATATAATTGAAAATTGAATATTGAAAATCAATTAGATATGAAATATTAAGAAAGTTTCTTTTTAGTCATTGAATGATGTCTTCCGTTGTTTCATTTGTATGGAGAAACTCCAGGACGCTCATTTATGTCCTCATTGCTCTAAACTCTGCTGTTACGTATGTATTTCGCGATGGTTAACTGAGCAAAGACGTCAATGTCCACATTGCAGAGCCTCACTGCATGTCAGCGAGTTGGTTAATTGCCGTTGGTTGGAGGATGTTGCCGTGCAAGTTGAAAACCTTCAGCAAATATGTACTAATATTCGCGCAAATGGTTTATTTAAAAATAAAGAACAGGATCAGTGCCCTTCGCATCAGGAAAAGTTAAGCGTTTATTGCTGGACTTGCAAGTGTTGTATTTGTCATCAGTGTGCATTATGGGGTGGAACACATTCTGGTCATATTTTTAAACAATTAGGTAAGTGAAATGTTAAATATTGTTAAATATAAAATTGTTTACAAAAACGGATTTGAAAAATCGATAGTGATGTTTTAAGAGCTTTACTAACAAAGGAAAAATAATTTAAAGAAAAAAGAAAATTTTATGTTTTGTTTATTAAATAAAATTCTAATTGAAATTGTGACCCCCCTTTTGATTAAATAAAAATTTTTTTTTAGATTTAGTCTACGAAACGCATATAGCGCAGGTAAAAGAAGAAGTTTCGCAATTGAAAAGCCGTTTAGTTGAGTTGATTAGTTTAGTACAAGATGTTGAACAAAATGTCGAAACCGTACGTGACGCAAAAGATGAAAAAGTACGGGAGATCCGAAATGCTGTTGAATTGATGATTGGTCGACTTGACGCTTCCTTGAGGATTAAATTGGTTGCCTTGATGCGTCAGAAGAATTCTTTAACCCAGGAGACTGAGCAACTGGAGCATTTATTGCAAGAAATTGAACAACAGCTCACTACTTGTTCTAAATCGCAACTTATAATGAAATCTCCTGAGCTTCTTAAAATGATTTTGCAAGTTCGTATAAAACCAATGACAAGCTATATCACTGCCCCAATTCCACCAAATTTTGTAAGTGAAATAGTGCCACCTTATGATACTGGAACTTTTCTGATGAAGCGTTTTAGTCAGTTGCAATTAAGAGGTCAGCCAGTGTACTCAGAACCATTAGATTGTAATGGATTGCAATGGAGGCTAAAAGTTTATCCAAATGGTAATGGACCTGTTCGGAACGAATACTTATCAGTATTTTTAGAATTAACAGTGGGGCTCCCTGAAGCGAGCAAATATGAATACCGTGTACAAATGATTCACCAGAGTTCAAATAAAATAATACAGCGCGAATTTGTTTCTGATTTTTCTGTCGGGGAATGTTGGGGCTATAACAGATTTTTCCGGCTGGACTTACTAGCCTCTGAAGGTTATTTAAACTTGTTGAAAGATACACTAGAATTAAAATTCCAAGTTCGGCAATCAACCTATTATCAAAAATGTCACGACCAACAGTGGTATATTGGGCAATTATTACTTAAACAAAAGGAATTGGAAAAGGAAGTTAAGTTTCTGAAGGATAAATCTAGTTTTCTTGTTGAAAACGCAACTGCGAAGACAGTTGAAGATGTTAAACCAAATAAAAATGATGGTGATTTGTCAGCAACTGCATCTGGTACAAACAGCGATCGCTCAACATCTTCCAGTTCATCAAAATCTAACAAGAAAGCTGTCAAAAAGAGCTCTGAGGGTGATTTAAGTTTAAATAGAAGTAATATATCACCTTCCCCTGTAGACAACACTCAAGACAGTCAGTCACAGAAAAGTAAAGACACTTCGAAAATTGATCAAAATTCATCCGGAGGTTCAGAAAACAATACAATTAAGAAAGCGGCTAACAGTGTTCATATGTTTAAAAACCGTAAGACTTTTTGTTTTATTTAAATCGAAAATTCAAATAATTTGTTATTCAAATTCAATAGTTGATGCGACATTTAAAGGAATTCTACAATCATTAAATGTCCCAACTAAAAGTCAAAGTCCTGATCTCACTACTACCAAACAAGGTGCTAATGCTCTGCCAACACTCGACTGTAAGATTTATTTGTCCAGAAGTATAGAAAATTTTTACTTTTATTTAATCAAAATATCAGTTAACTTTTTTCTATTGCATTTTCAATAATAACACTTATTTTAATAATAAATTTAGTTTAAATAAATTAAAAAAATCTAAAGGTTTACATAAATTAAAAAAAGTGCTTTTTAAAATTATTTATGCAATTAATAATGAAATTATATGAAAATTAAAGTTTTAAACGAACAAGTAATTTCTAATAAATGTTATTTTTAGCTACAGATAAAACAAAACAGTTAGCCATATCATTTTCATCGCCGAATTTGCATAGTGCTGATGAGTTCGAAAGTAGCATTCAAGAACAAGAACAAATTACAACTGCATTGGCTTCGGAGCTAAAAAAAACTAACAAAGATAATTTGACTGAACTGGAAGATTTATTTCTCAGCACGTCAAGTGCATTTGAAGATACAGCTTCTTTGTGTGATGAGCTACAAAATACATTTTTAGCAAGGGAAAATGACGCAGAATATGCTGAGTTCTCTATGACTCAAGATATTCCACTGAAATCGATATCAAAAAGAGAATCACTATTAAATGCCAGCAATCCAACGAGTAGTGCTTCAACTGCGTATAATCCAAATTCAATTGATGCATTTATTAACAATTACTATCAAACAAAGAGTCGTGATTTCACAAAACGACGAATAACTGACGATGATGTCGTCCTTCTAACGTTGTTTGATAGTCCAAATTCTGGAAGTAATCATCATAATAACAAGGAGTTTATGAAAAATGATACAAAAGTATTATCTAACAGTGACGAAAACGATGGGTGCCAAAATGCAGAATCATGTAAGAAAAAATAAAAATTTTAAATCTTTAAATTTTTTAACCTAAATTCTTTCATATAACAGCTACAAGTAGAGACAGAAAAAATTCTTATACGGGAGGTGTATTAGAAACTTTAATAGAACCACCTAAGTTAAGTTTTTTGTATGATTTAGATGATGAAGATTCTTCAAATGATAGTTTAATGTTATTTAGAACTACCGAAGGTATGATTAAATTGTAATATATGTATTATATTGTAAATGATATTATGTTTTTAAAATTTTTAGGTTTGAGACCCAGAAAAAAAATTGAAGGGCATAATTCTAATACGGAATCCGGTTCAGCAAGTAGTTCGCCAAAACATAAAACTGATTCGCAGGTAAATATCACTTAAAAATATTTTCTTACCCATTTACGAAATAAAAATTACACATCATTTGTTTAGTTTGCTACAATGAATTATTAGTGAATTCAAATTTTAAATCTTAAAAGATCCTCAATTATCATTCATTAGGCGACCAAAAATATGAATTCGATTATTTAGAATAAGCTTTTTTAAAGGTCAAACTTATATTTTTGCGCTCTTTAAGGTTGCAATTTTTTTACTTTTGCATTTAATTTTTAATGGTTATTTCGATAAAAGCTTTTATTCAAAAGTACCAAACAATTAATCTCTCAAGTTACAAAAAGTTATTCAGTTAATAAAATCAATTTACTTCATTTTTTTATTTTTATTATTTTTTTATATTTTTGGTATTTAACCAAATAAATACGATGGTACATAAAATATAACTCTCACTTTGAAGATAAGTATTTAAGCTTTTAAATGGTTTTGGAAGTATTTTATCTTAGACCAATTATGTACATAAATATATAAAGAACCAATAAATTGCCATAAATCTTATTTTTAGAAATTATAAATTTTTATTGCGAAAAAACTTTGCAATTATAGTTTCTAAAAAAAGAAAGTTTGAAAGGTAAAAAAAAAGTTCAATAATTGCTAACATATTGGCTACACTAATATTTAATTTTTAGTTTCTTCTTACAAGGTTTTTGAACTCTTTCGTTCTGGATAATTAGCAACATTAACAATTTGAATATCTTTTGATAATATTTAAGTATTGATATTTTACTGTGTTATCTCAAAATAAATAGGATTATTTAGGATAAAATAATGGCATATGTCCTGTAAAGGCTAAAATTGACTACAGCATTTTTTACAAACTCTATGTACAATTGAAAAAATGAGCACAAATGAAGTGTCTTTTTGGAATCAAAGTAGGTTTTCTTGATTTTAGAATATATAAAAAAATCGGAATATATAATAGTATGAAATAAAGAAAATGTGTATTAAAAAAATACGGAGATTCGGAAAAATTATGATTTTACTTTATGAAATATTCACTTAAAAGCAAGTTGCAATATCATCTACTTTGCAAGTCATGATCAGTCATATTTTGTATTTACAAGAAGTGTGTAACGTCTAGTAAAGTAATACCAGCAACTTCTTTTATTAGAATTACATATATCTTTATTGTCTTAATTGGTATGGTATTCTTTATGAGCGATTGTAATAATCTTGAATAATAATATTAAAATTTAATTAACTTTTCTAAACTTTAATAAATAATTTGAAATTCAAAATTTAAATTGAATCATCGAAATTTCTTAAACTGAGTTAAAATTTTCAAAAAAATTCTTGTTAGCACCTTCATTCATTCGTGTCCTCATATATGCACAAATAATCTCATAAACTCATTATAAAATAGTTGTGCATTTTTGAATTATAGAAGTGAGAAATAATTGAAATATTTTTCTTATATGTTTTTTTTTTAAATTCGCTATATAAAATATTTTATTTTAACTGACAATTAGTCTTCATCAATTAATCAAATGACTGAAAATATTAACAATGATGAGGGTAATGATTTGTGTGATGATACAACTTCAGTTGATAATGAATTTCATCAAAATGAAAATTTTTAAATTATGCTCAGATGTTCAGCTTTACCAATAATTAATTTAAAAAGGCATGTATAATTAATTGTTTGTTACGAAGCTTTTATAAAGTTGATTTTTTTGGAATACATAGTATATTTAAAAGCAATATTCATATTTTATTGACTTTTTGAATGTTAGCCTTTAAAAACATTGCAATTTTTTCAAGTAATGACGGTTTAGTACATAGATACACAGCATCATTCAAAAATTTTTACAATTTGTTATTGTTTAATTTTGTTTTGCCTCAAACAACCAATCAAAAAATAAATATTTTGTATTTTGTTTATTTCATTTCTTCTGACTTATGAATGACTTATTACAATGTTCCCTGAAAAATTTGATTTTTATTGAAAATTATTGAATATTAGTAGAATTAGAGTAAAAAATAAGATTTAAATGAAAAAAAAATTCATAATTTCAATCAACTCTGTACTCTTTTAGTGTATAGATGACAACTATAAGTTGCAAAGTGTTCATAATATTAAAATTGCAAAAAAAATTTTAAATGGAAATAACAAGCAACTCCTCGACTCTATTAATCAAATTTTATCAAAATTTACAATTTTCTCTTTTCTCTGTGTAACTAAATAGAGTAGTGAAATTTAAGATTTTCACCAAGAGCGAAAAAGAAAAGATTATTAATTATAGTGCAAGTTTGAGACTATAATTCAGTACGAGTCTGAGATGATGAACACGAAAATAGATAATTTGAACTTCAGTTTATTTGTAATTTAATATTACGCCTTAAATGAAAAAGCAAAATTGAATTGTATACTTTAATTACGATTAAATTAATTTTTAATTTGATCGTAAGTAGCAAATTTTTGATTTTCAGAAAGTGAAAACTTTTGCTAATGTTATTTCTGCCGATGAGTGCCTTCTTAAAAATTATTTTCTAATATATCAGATGAGGAAAAATTTTCTCTTTTAATTCTTTAGTAATTTTCTCAATTAGAGCAAGCAGAAAAAATGATCGTTTTAATAATCCTCTATATTCTTAACGAGCTGCCCGAATGGGGAGATAAAAACAGATGGACTTGTTGCATATTCGCTAGTTTGATGCTCGGGTTTAAAAAATTTTTAATGACGAAAGTTTTTTGTTCTTTTCATGTTTTCGTTTCAACAAAATTGTTTAAAATTATAGAAAATAGATCTGAAAAATAAGAATATTTCAATATTATGTAATACAGAAATGGAGTAAATGTCACAAATTCAAAAGATAGTTTACGTTACGAACGGAATTTAAATTTCCCGATATTGATTCTCCTAATTCAACCTTTAAATGTTAAGCTTTGTTCTTCTTTAAGCTTCTTGTGATACATTTTATTGTATGAGTTCATGAGAAAGTCTACATATTTTTTAATTTATGCTTTTTTACGTGTTCCAAAACATTTTCATTTGTCATTTATGAATCAAATGTCATTTTAATGCATCAAAGATTTTAATAAAAATTCAATTTTATTAAATTTTATTGAATTTTTTTTTACAAATTTACATATTTGAAGTTACAAAATGCTTTTTGAAAGTAAAAAACAAAATTAAATTTTATTTGCATCATGTTATATTTGTAAATACCATTATGGCCCCATTGTATTTTAAACAGAAACTAGTAAAATTCTATTTATTATAATATTTTATTTCCCTTTCCCTTACAATTAATATATTATGCCCACTGTTAATTATAGGTATTATTTGTATATAAAATCATTATTTCATTTATTAAATAATTAAATTTATAATATCCTTTAATTAAGTAAATGGCAACTTTTAAAACTTTAGAGGAATAGAAATTATACAAAGCTTCCAAATAAGAAGAAAATTTCAAAGAAATGATGAATACAATATTTTAGAAAATAGCTTAATTTCATCAAATATATTTCCAAAATAAATCAACATGGATCGCCAATTAAATTTAAAAAATATATGGTTATACGAATATGTTGTTCTCTAAAAGGAAAATTATAAATTAAAAGTTAAAAAAAAAAGTTATAGTTAAATGTGTAAAATTTAACATTGTTAAATATGAAAAAAACTATAAATATAATTTGTTAAAAATAAAAAAAACAAACAAAATTTTTATTTAAAATTTAAGAAATTACTAACGTTAAACAATATTATTCTAAGAAACTTGTAAATCTTCTTGAATACATTAATAATAACTAAGCGGAAATTTGTTATAATTATTTAAAATTTATTTTGAGTTCGTTGAGTGGTGATATTTGATGAAAAACCCGAGTGTCTGTGTCTCAAATCTATTGACAAATAGTGTTCTTATATCAGGACAGCTTGTAAAGCCCTTTACTTAACGGAAATTTATCGCATTAATGTAATTAATTTTCTTTTCTGAAAGATAAAAATAACATTTAGCTCAATTAATAACTAGATTTTTAATTATAATTTGAGTTTCACCCCTACGTTTTGTTTCAACATAAACATGAAAATTTCATATAATCGGTCTGTTTTGTAAATATTAATAGTATCTACATCTTACAATGGTCTAGATTGTCTAGAGCAAAAATAGAATGAACACTTTTAGGATGTGATCGTGTATTTCGCTATTTTAATCGCCAAGTGTGAAGAAGGTGAATGAATATCAGAATGCAATTTTAGAGTAAGAAAAATTTTTCCGTATTGGGTATCTCGTTTTTTTTTTAAAATTTTATATCTAAATATTCTAAATTTATTTTGTCTTTTAAGGGGTTCAGTCGATAATTTTTGGAAAAATGACAAAAACCAATTAAAAAACTGAGTGATCTTATTGGAAGAATAAAATATCTATTCGAAAAGAGAAATATTCTGACTTGAAAGTAAATAAAAATTAAGATAAAAAAGCGATGTACATGATTAGTTTGTTATTAGAAAAAATGTACACGTAATCTTAATACAAAATTCATAGGTCCAATTAATATAAACGAGAATTCAGATTTAATCCAAGAAAAAATTTTTTTAGATATAAATGTATCGATATTATCATTATGTTTTATTATCACACGCTATTACTAAGCTTCTGAATTTTATAAAATGGCAGGGTTTTTATTCAAAAACTATTTCGATTTTATTTTGCATTGTATATGTTATATTTTAAAAGTGAATACACCGAATTGTTCTAGACTAGAAGATTTAGATTTAGAGTTTCATATAATTTTAATCGATTGTTTGAGCAACATTGAGAAAAATACATTATTTAAATGAGATTTCTAGTGAAATTTTAGGCAAATAATAAAAAAATTGTTATTTAAGGTAATGAATTTAATTTACATATTTATGATAGAGAAACGCAAATTTTTCTTTAAGGTGTAAGGACAGTGGAAAATTTTTGTGTTATTTGGTTTACATGTATGTGTTGTGTATTTTTTTTTTGTTTCCAATTTTAATGAATATTTTTAGTAATTTATTTTTTACTTATTTTTCACTTACAGATCAATAGACGTCATAGAAACGATAATTAATTGAAAATAAAGGATTCATAAAATTTTAAGTATTCAAATATTTTTTTTTTTATTTTGTTTTGTTATATTAAAATTATAGTTTAAAGCATAACTTTAGTTTTATGTATCCAATTGTTTTTTTTTTTTTTTTGTGATATTTAGAATTAAAATTAAAATTTAATAAGATTTAAGAGAGTTTAAAAGTAATACAATATCATAATTATTGTTATGCGTAAATGAAATAGTGTGTTTTATCGGCAAAACTCTTGTTGGTGAAACACTCTGTATATTCAGTGCAAATAACTGAGAAGCATAGAATTAAGAGCATCTAATTTTTAAAAGTTAGAAAAAAATTATTAATTTCTAGAAAGAATAAAATATAATGAAAACTCAGCACGACGTAATAATTGTGGAGAAAAAAATTAAATATAAATTTGACTGCTTTTAAACACTTTTTACATCAAGTGTCCGAAATCGATTGAAAAAAAAAGAAGATAATATATTGTTTAGCACTTTATCCTTCAAATTATTTTTTAAGTTATTTTGAATTATATTTTTTATTTTCTTGCATTGTGATGTGAAAATTTATAATATTTTAAATCGCTGCCAATGTTGAAATTGATTTAAAATAAAATTTAATATAAAACAAAAATGGTTTATGTAATTAGTTTTTCTTGCAAAATTAATATTTTGCGATTGAAACCTATAAAGAGTTAATATTAAAACAAATATAAAGGTAAGTAGACCTTATAAAAATAATTATCTAATTTAATGTAATAATGATGATATTAAGCAGAGAATCTGAAAACTTCCAATCAAGTAAATCAAGGAAATTGCATGATATATGCATGGACCTATTTATATAGTTGCATTGAATCTTTTTCTAAGAAAATTCGTTTGGGGCGTGTTAGAATATTAGGTAACGCTGTTGCAATTAGAATTAGAATTAGATTACTTGAAATGCAATAGCAAGGTTGGTGCTTCATTTCATTTTACATTTTTCTTTAAAAATCATTTTAGTTTCTTAATATTTAAGATTTGTGATTTACTATCGTATAGACGATATTTATATCAATACTTACTTTTAGCCTAATATAATATACTTACTTAATTAAAATTTCGAACTAATAACATATTAGTTTTACATTTACATAAATCCAAGCTAAGATATTTGAAAAAAACAGCAATATATGTATTGTTTTATTTAGCAAAACTTGCAGTTTCATAAGAAATTTCATAACAAAATTAGCAATTAATAAGGCAAAGTGCAGCATTTCGTCACAACAACACGTATGAATAATTTGTCAGAAACAAAGATTATGATTTTGCTAGACCTATATCAGGTCTCACTTTAAAAGTATTTGAAATAAAATTTTGTGTGGATGTTTATCATCTCTGTATGCTGTTACATGCAATCCAACCTCATTAGTAAAATAGAATAAATTATTTACATACATACATAGTTTAATTTCTGAATCAGTTTTTGTAATTTAAATGGGAGTCTTAGATTTTGAAAGATGATCGAAGATTACATGTAATTTCCGTGACTATACTATTATCAGGATCCGGTTGAATGCTTAGATTAGAAAAAATGTAAAGAAAAAGCTAAAATAAAAACGATTGAAAGTAGTCAATCCAATTAAAGAAATTTGTATAGTTTATTTTGAAATCGAATAACAAAAAAAACACAATAAATTAACAACACTAAATTTTGGTATTGAATAAGAACAAGCCTATGATTACAGTCTATTACAAATACTATACATGTGTGTTTATGTACTTACTGCATTTATGCTTGCTTATTAATATACACCTTATTAATATACACATGCATATGTATACACATATTAGGGATTAATTTATTAAATGTATTGCTATAAATTCTGAAATAGAATTTATTAAACTCCGATTATATATATATAGGTAAATTTAATGGGCTAAAGGACTGACAAGTCTAAAGACTTAAAAATGTAAAATATCAAAAGATTTTTTATAAAAACAAATAAATGTTTTATTGTTTTTGTTTTTCAGTTCTCCCCAAATTTTAAATCAAGTCTATCCTAAAAGTATACCAGAACAGAATAATATCAAATAAAAAATTAAACACTCACCTCAATGGAATTCATCATATTGAAAGTTAAGCGAACATTATACTTCTCATTCTTATCATTTGTCATTGTACATTTATTAATATTTGAACCAATTATCTAAAAATTCAAATTAGTAGAATTGGTACAAATTGGTACACCATTCCATCCCTAATATGTTGATTTACAATGGCAAGGCAAAACTTTTGAAATAATTCAAAAAAATTTTGTAATAATTCATTCGTTTCATATAATTTCTTAAAATTGATGCCCCTGAAGCTTTTTTTTATGTTAACGCCATAAGTAAGCTTTGCCATTAGACTAAAATCTATTCGGTGGACCAAATTATACGATTTCTATCTCCTATAGCACAATTATCCAAATTACCGGCTCTAAAACAAGCTATTATTGTTTTTTTATTTGAAATCATTAATTCACATTTTTAACTAATCTGTTTGCTTGAAGATTCCAGACTTGTCAAATATCAGAGAATACTATAGAAATATAGAATCTATGTAGAAATTAACGTTTCCGACTCTCAAAATTTTCTATTTGGTTTAATCCTATTTTTTTTTTCTTATCGAAGATTTAAGTTTCTCGAAATACTCTTAATTATGCAATAATGTTTTATGTAAAATAGCCCTGCTTTTCGATTCCTATATTGTAATATTTTTTGGATATTTTTAACAATTTTTTTTAATTAAATCTCTATTTAGAATAAAAGTTATTAAATATTAGTATCAAAATAAAACAACAATTAAATCAAACACCTTCGTCTTTGTTAAAATTTCAAAGACATGTAAAACCGAGCAAAAACTATTTAAATGCGATTTTTTACAGTTTTAAGCTGCTTTTTATCAAAACTTTTCTAAATTGTTTTAATAGTTTTGCCCGCCACTGTATGAAAAACAATTAGATTTTCTTCAAAGTAAGTAGTTTTCCCTTTTAATTATTAATTTATTTGTTAATTATATTTTAATTATTTAATTATTTTATTCATTATTTTATTAGATAGAAAGAATTTTAGAAAATTGAATGAGAATCTTTGAAATTAGAAATTTTATTTTATCTTTTCCCTTAAACCATTATTTTTTTTTTGTTTCTGACGTATGCTGATGAGCACATCATTATTATTAAATTGTAAATCGATCGGGTGTTCCAAAATTCAATTTGACAATCATGGTTTGATTAATATAAGAATTGTTTTCTTTTTTTTTTTTTTTTATAATACATTAAGATAGTATACTTTATTAAAGTTTATGCGATTAATATAATATGCTTTTTGTTTTATAAAACAAAAAAAAAAATCTTTTTTTTTTTTTTTTAAAGTAATGTAAAAACAATTTGAAAAATATTTGATGAGGCACAAAACATTTAAAAAAAATTGCAATATCATAAATTATCGTTCAACTTTACTTAATTATTTTTTTTCTTTTTTTATTATTATTATCAATTATTATTATTATTTTTTTATTATTTAACTTTTAACTTCGCAAAACAAAAGTAATTTTTTTTTTTTTTAATAAATTCAAGGCATTTTTTATATATATATGTAATAATTTTTTTTTTTAATTTATGCAAAAATGTAAATATTTTAAACATTGAAAAATAAAAATTTTATTTATTTTATAATGATTATTTAAATGTTTGGGGGAAAAAAACAAATGGTTTTATTCATTTCAATAGAGAAAGTAAATTGAAAATTTGTTTTTTTTTTCAAAGAAATTGGTGAAAAATATTTAAATATAATTAATTTATATGAAAAATGTATTATATACAATACGTTGTGTATTGATATGTTGTAAAGGAAAAAAAAAATATTATTGAAATATTATTGAAGAAAATAAATAAAAAAAAAAAATATATAATTTTTAAAAAATTCACAATTTTCAAGCTTTAAAAAAGCGTCTACAAATATTATTAAAAAAAGAATACTTAATACTAAATTATTATTTAAATATTTTGTAATAGAAAAAACAAAATATTTGGCATTATTCGAAATGCAATTTTCGCAAATATTTTGATATAATCGAAGATATTGGCGATAGTAGATTAAAAAATTATTAAATTATAATTAAAGAAATAAGAAAGAATTTTTTCCCTGTATAATAATTTACAGGAATTCAAAAAGTGAATTGAAGTAAATTCATAAAACAAAATGTTCAGAAAAACAATCTATTCTATAAAATTTATTATAGAAATGTGAAGTCATCATTTTAATAGAGGGCTTCTGTTTAAATTTACTTTTTTTTTTTTTTTTTAGTTTAAATTACTAATTGTTTTATATATGTATTTTTTTTTTGTTCAATTTTGTTATCCAATTTTTTTTTTATATCTTTTTATTTAATTATTTAAAAAAAAAAATAATTGATAAAAATTATATCGCAATGAAGGTTGGTAATTAATAAAATTTTTAGTTAATGTTAAAAAAAAAAAATACAACAATAAACTTCATATATACATATATTGTATGTAAAATATTTCGTAGAAATATTTCGTTTTTGAATACTATTTTCATATTCTTTAAAATTGTAAATTTTCACTTGTTTTGTAAAAATTTCTTCATTAACTGTATGAATTTTGCAATAATAAAGAATAATGTAATATATAAATATATATATATATATATATATTTTCAAAATCAAATTGTATGAAAATCATTTAAACTCAATTACTAATTAAAATATAATTGGGATGAAATTAAGTGTTCATAATGAAAAATAAAAAAAAAAGAAAAAAAAAATTAATAAAAAGCCTAACAAAAATAAATTTTTTTGTTTGTTTTTTTTTTAAATATTTTAATTTTATATGTTATACCTAAAATACTATCAAATACAACTCAAAAAAAAAAAAGAACTAAAAAACAAAAAAGGAAGCACTAATTTGTGAATCAAAGAACATAAATCAGTCAAAAGTAGTCGAGACCAAAACAGAAAAAAAAAAAATAATCCTAAATTTAAATAAATGAAGTTCTAATATTTATAAGAGATGAAAAACAAAACATATTTTGTATAGTATTAAAAAAACATAATATATTATTGAATAATAAATTAGAACAAAAGAAAAAAATTATTAAAAAATAATAATGCTGTTGACACAAATTATTGTATGTATATTATAAGATATTTATGTATTTATATATATGTATACTTATAATTAAAATGTAATTTAGAAAAACTTTAATTGCTTGCAAACATTTCTCCGGTCTGTTTCAGTGAAATCTACAATATGTTTATTTCTATTTTTTTTGAATTAGAAAATTAAAATGAAAACAAAAATTAAATTAAAAATTTTAAAACGAAAAAAAAAAAAAAATAAAAAAGAAAATTAAAAATTTCGTGAGAGTTAATTTTGTATTTTTTTTTCTTTTTTCTGTAAACTATTTTTATGCGCATAAAATTGCAATAATCTTTAGAAAATTCGTATAAAAAATGTTAGTTTCAATATGATAATGTGAGAGTTTTTTTTTTTTTTTTTTTTTTTAATTAACTCGTTATGTTTATTATTAATTTATTTTTTCGTAGTTTAAATTTCATGTTTTATTTCTATATATATTTTTTTTTTATGTTTTTTTTTGTTTTTTTAAATTTTACTTATTTCAGAAAAATGTTCTTTAATTTGTTGTCGGCTGTTGGATAGAATGTGATGTTAATATTCTCCTTTTTTTTTTTTTTTAATTTTTGATAAAATAAAAACATGCATCCTTCATTTCGTTTTTGTTCTATTCGTTACGTTAAGCTAAAATATCTTCTTTAATAATTTCTGTTACACAATTGTTATCACCATTATTTAAATTTGGAGTGTTCTCTACTACTTCCAATGGAATATTATTTGTTTCAATATTATTTATCAATTGAGTTTCATTTTCAATAACTTTTTTTTCAGAAATTTTTCCAACATTTTGATTTTTTGTAGGGCTTAATTTCGCTGTAGCAGATACTGTCTTCTTTGTTGTTGTTGATGATAAGGGTGGTTTTGTAGATTTTTTAGCTGCAGCATTTGTAGAATTCGATGATGATGTTAAAGTCTTTCTAACTGTTGTTGTTGTGGTAGTAGTTGTAGACTCTAATTTTTTCGAATTAATTTCTGATGGTTTGGAAGTAGTTGTTGTTGTAGATGATGTAACTCTTTTTGTGACACCAATTGTTTTTGGTGCACTAGCAATCGGTCTTGAAGTAATTTTAGTAACTGTTTTTGTTGTAGGACTCTGTAAATTATACATAGATATAAAATATTGTTATAAAAATAATTTACAATTTATTTTGCAATCAAATTTAAAATAAGGTTCGCGAGATAGCAAAAATATTAGAAAAAATAAAAGATAGTAAAAATATCATAGTTTCAGTAATGAATACCGCGCACATAACGAATTGTGACATTTTTATCAGAATGAAAGTCTTACATTGCTATTCACTAGAACAGAAAAATTTAGTTATGATAAAAAAATTCAGAAAAATTAATAATAAAACTAATTGTTAATGTCTAAATATACTTATGTTGATTAAAATTTTTGGAACTAAGTTTTTCAATTTAAATACTAAATCTTTAAATCTTTAATCAATTTAAAAAAATCTTTAAATCGATAATATATTTAAAAAAAATTGATTGCCGTGAAATTCTCGTTACCATTTAAATTTAAACCAACAAAACTAAGTGAATGTTTAAGGAATTAATTAGAAATCGGACAAGGAATGTTTTGTCCGAACTAAAATAGAATTGTTTACAATTATTTAGTTACTAAGACATTTTTTAATATAGAAGTTTTTTGAATTTTTCATCATAACTATCCTATACTGGCTTTATTTCAATGAATAATACACTATTATTCATTGTATACAATAATAATGCCAAGAATTAAATTTTAGAAGTACAATATAACTTTAAATAATAAAAACGCAATTAACATTATATCGCTAATTAAATTAAATTGATAAAGTTCAGATTGATTTTGTAAAACAATAAATTTTCTTTATGTTACATAAGAAAAAATAATGTTCTAGGTTATAAACTATATCTAATATAATGTACACGTATTTCTATTATACCTTATTTGTTTCAGTCTTTGTTGGCGCTGATGATGTTATGGTTCTTGGTGGTGCTGCTTTGAAAGTACTTGTTTTAGTCGTTGGTCCTGTTTTATTAACAAGAAGAGTTCTTGGTGCAGCATTGGTTGGAGCTACACCATTAAGTGGTGATTTAACTGTTTTACTTTTTAACGTGCTTGGGCTAGATTTCGTTACAGTAGATCTGAAATAAAAATAAATTATTATTTTATATTACCATTTGCATAATTTACAAATGAAATATTACTTGATCTCGGTTGTATTTTTATTTGGTGCTGGTCTGGTTGTACTGGGACCTTTTAATGTACTTGGTTCAGAGCCTGTTTTATTGCTTGCAACAGTTGTAGTTGGAGCAACTTTTTTTGTCAAACCAGCTGATTGTGGTCTGGCAGTGGTTTTAGTTGCTGCACTCGTACCCAATTTTTTATCTGTTAGGACATTAGATCTAACTGGTGCTGTTTGAGGACGTTTTGGCGGTGAAATGATTAGAGTTTTGGGAGGTTGCGTTGCAGCCACGGTCATAGTTTTGGGTTTGGCTGTAGTTGCGGAAGAAACTTTTTTTTGAGAAACAGCCGATATTGGTTTTTTCGGATCAGATGCTGATGTCTTGCTTAAACTTTTCTTTACTTCAGTAGTTTTAGTAGCTCCAGTTGTCGGTGATTTTGCTAATTTAGATTTTTCAGTAACAGCTTTAATTGCAACAACTGCAGCAGTTGCTACAGCCGCTGATGCAACATCTATAATTTCTTGTGAATTGTTTGATACTTCTATAACATCATTTTTGACAGCTTCTAATGGTTCAACGATTTTTTCAACATTTTCTTGTATTTGTTGTTCAACATTTTTAGATGTGTCTTCGGAGTTAATATTTAAATTATTTATGTCTTCGATAACATTATTTAAAGTAACTTCCTCAATTTCTTTCGGGGATTGTAATGCATCACTCGGAGACATAATCAATTCTTTGCTGTCTTTTTCTATTGCAACTTCGTTAGCGTTTTCAATTTCATCGGGAATTGTTTGAACGCTATTTAATAAATCAGACTCATCTTTTTCTGTTTTGGAACTTGAATTTTCAATGTAAATTGATCGATTCATATCAATATTATCTAATTCAGCTACTGGACTAAAACCTACAAGAGGATCAGCATTAGCTGTAGTTGTAACGATTGAATTTTCAACACTATTTTCTTTTTCAGCGCAAACATCAAAAACATTATTATGTCCATTTTCAGATTCTTCACATATATGTCGATTTTCATCACCGCACTTGATTCCACATGGAATTGGTGCTTGTTCAGGCATAATTAATTCTTCAGCTACTTCATGTGGACGTTGTGCTGCTTCCTTATCAAATGTTGATTCCTCTGGTACCTGAATATCTTCCATATTAACAGATGCTTTTCTTGGGCTTTGCGCAACAACATCATCTTCAAATCTTTGTTGCAATTTTGGATAACCATTTGTTAATGCAGCGAAATCTGGTGGTGATGTTGGGATAAATTCTTTGGCATCAGGATTTAGCTGATAATTCATATCGTCAGTTTCAGCGATTTTTTCGAAATCAATATCAAAACTTTGGGTTACTATTTCGCTTGGATTTTTATTGTCGCTCTATAAATAAAATATTTCATTTTAAAAAATGTACTTATTCAAGGTTAAGTTTCAAATCTATTCAAAAAATAGAAAGTTTTAAATATTACACAAATTAGTTTATTTATTAAATTAAAATTTTTATTTCAAAAATATGTGTATATTATAAAAGTCATTTCAATGTTTACTATTTGCAATTGATTTTTGAATGTTTATAAGGCACTTTTCATCTGTTATGCAATATGTTTATATACACTTAACAAAATATCCAACTATTTTTAAAACATGAAAATAAAAAGAAATTTTTAGTCTTCTTCTTTTCTTTTTGATGATTTTTTTTATAGTTTTATGAATGGGAAAAAATAATAGAATTCATTTAAAATTTCAGTAAAAATGAAAAGATTTAGGTTTATATTTTAATATACATATTTTATACAATTGCAAATATACAGAAATTGTCAAAAATAATTTTAGTGCTATACTTAAATGTCAGAAGCAAATTAAAGTGTTATCAGCGTTGAATTGTTTTAAAAATATAAGAATTATAACCAAAAGTTATACAAAAGATATTTTAAAATTTTTGTTTGGCATAGATGTTAATTTTATTATCAATTCAGCTGACAAGAAACTCGGAACATATGTTAGGTGTGATTTGTCGAAGATCAATCAAGAATTGAATTGCCTCTTTTTTGTTTTATAATGTGCGTATGCACATTACTGCAACTAAGTTTGACTAAAAATGTTAGTCATTTGCCAAAGCTCAGTTTACTTTATGACTTTTTGTGTATGTGAAATTTAAAATGTACTGCTAGTAATATACACATTATTCAAATTTCTTATGGTATTTTTGCATCTTTGTAATCAATATATTTTCTATCTTTATTACCTATCCATATGTTTTCTAATAAAGGTAATTACCTCTTTTATTTTCTCGTCTATGATATTATCTTTTTCTGTTAAGGATTGATCGATTAATAATTTATCAACTGATGCGTTTATTATACCCTTCTCAGAATTCTCTGTTTCCTGTTTTTCTCCTTCATTTTCTTTTACATTTATGTAATCCCATTCATCATCGGACTCGTCACATTTGTCGTTTGGTGGTGGTTCCAAATGTTTACCATCTAAATTTTTATCAACCTTACTTTCTGAGGATTCCATTAGTTGATTTTCTGTCGTTGGATTTAACTTGATATTTTGTTCTTGACAAAAAAAAATTAATAAAATTTAATATACATTGTTACAATTGAGAAATACAATTTGTAAATATGTAGGCGGATAACTAATAGATTTATGTAAATTCCATAATTAGGTTAACAGTAACTTTTAATTGGCAAAGTTTCAATAAAAAAATATTTTATCTGTCATGTTGAATAATATGAGCTCCTAAAAGCTACGCCGCTCAAAAAAATTTTTTTTTATTAAGATGACTTGTTGAAATTCTTATGTATCCACAAAGGTTAATTATATTAATTGTTTTTAATTATAAAGCTGCGGTAGCTCTTAATATATTAGTATATAACGTAAGTAGGCAAAATATCATTTCAAAAAATTCAAAAAATACATAATTTCATAAGTATTCTAAATCATATGCAAGTAGTAGATTTAGAGTAAATCACATTTCGTAATGATTGAATATATGTAGTGTAGGTTATTATACCTACATAATTGTAATTGAAACACTCGGTGTATAATGACTATAAACGATATGGTCATTGTACATATTAATTATATTCATAGCTATGCATGTAAACTTACATGCTAAAGCAATTGAATAATATTAGTTTTAAGAAATTTGTGTAACCTAGGCAGTCACCTAATAGTTGTAGGCATTGAATTTTAGAAAAAGTACCAAATGTGAATTTTATGATTAAAACGTAGGTATGCATAATTCAAACTAGCAAAAAATTTTTTTTTAAATTAACCAACAAATTTAAACATATAAAAAAAATTGAACTTTTAGTGAGTATTTGGAAGCTTTGTCAAAATTAAATTTAAAAAAAAAATCAATAGTGTACATATGATTGCAAAAGGAAAACCACAAAAGCTACATCATTATCCCACACTCTACCTAAGCATGTAGACATATGTATGTAGTCGGTAGGTAGATACCTAAAAAATTAGTTTGAGCTCATTTAAAATTTTTTTCATATTTAATTTAAAAAAAATTCCGGAAATATGAAAATAATTTTAATACTTTAATTAACTAGTTATTTACCAAAGCTATCAAATTTTAAAAAACTATCTACTTCAACTTGATTTTTTTCCATGATTATGATGTCAACTTTGTATAAAAAAGTTAATATACTTAGGTGTGTAAATATGAATGTAAACTATTTAATATATATCAAATTTGTTTGGATTTTCTTTTGTTACAAAAAATATAAAAACAAATACGAATTTTTAATTAATTAATTATTCAAAGTACATAATTTAACTAATTAAATAATAACTTCACAAAAATAATTTCTTTTACACTTTGGAATGGACGAGAATACTCATAAATTTCTGACAAAACTGAATACTGATGAATCACTTTATGCGATGCAAAATTCAATACAAAAAATAACAGTCCTCATCAATCACCAATGATTCTATTATGTTTATGCTATTCAGAGCATAAACCACTACGTAAAACTGCTAGTAATATTTTATTTCAGATTTTAACCATAAATGACGAAAAATATTGTTGAAAAATTATTGCCGCTATTCAGTTAAAAACTTTGTTTGACGTTTAATTGTAGTTGAAATACAAAAACAAATTCGTAGTGCAGTTAAAAAACTAGGAAAACAAAAAAAAAAAAAAAAAAAAAATCAAATTTCACTTCACCGGCAGATTCCAGAAAAAGAGCTCTTGTAGATGTAATGTATGGTATTACCAAGGTACATTTTTGTACAAATAGTCTTACCAAATTGAAAATATTATTTGCAAAATATGCTATTTTTGAAATTAGATAATTTTTTTAGATAATGCTGTACATACATATTTTATAGACAGAAAATAGAAATATGAAGTAGATATTGACAAAACATATCATAATGTATGTCTGTATGTATGTATTTAATAGGAATTAAAGGCTTCTTATACGTTTTGTACTAATTATGAATAAGTTTATTAGAAAAATAATCATGTGACTTTCATTACAACTAATTTAAGATTGTATAAATTAGAAATTCATTGTGTTGTATTTTAATTGTGTTGTACATATACATAAATATTCAATTATGAATGTACATTATGTAAATACTTTGTATACATACATACATAGGTATATAATTAAAAATTCATCGATGTGCGTACATATGCAAGTATTGTTTCTTTATAAGGATCGAATTCTTATATGTAGGTATTTGGCTTGGCAAGTTGTAACATTTTTGCTAAAGATATTTCTTGATGAATTTGTTAGGAATGAATGTACAAATTATTTTTCGAATACTAAACGGATCACTAAACGATATTATACGATACACATTATGTACCTATATATGTATTTATGTATGTATATGATGTTGTGCCTACGAATTTTTTCCATTTTTACAAACAAATTCCGATTGATAAGTAACTATATATGTAACTAATATGTAATTATGTCATATTTTTAACTACAAAAACATTATGAAAATAATTAGTTCAAAAGTGGTAGCAAAAATTTGTATGCCATGGTTAGTTCCTCCCGTAACTAATATTTTAAATAGAAAACTTCAAATATTTGAAGTTTCCCGCATAACGATAACGAAATTTAAATTTAGAATTTTATATAATTTGAAAATCCAAATTAAGAGTATTTTTTTGTTTATTTTTTTTCAATTTGGAGCCTAGTCGTGAGAGTTATAACGTTAATTCAATAAAAAATTTTATTATCTTACCTAAATCTTCTTTTAAAATGTTTTCCTCAATAGTTTTCTGATTAATTTCGATTTGACTAGTTTGATTATCAATTTCAAAGTTTTCTTGATGTTCAAGATTATCTTGGTGTGGAATATTTTCATTTGAAAAATTATTCTCAACAAGACTTTCGTTATTTAAGGAAATATCTTTTTCAACAAGATTTTCGTTACTTAAAGAAATACGATCTATATCACTTTTTGTTTCAGAAGTCATTAAATCATCGTTTTGATATACAGCCTTATTATCGTTGTTGATTACATCACATTCTGCCATTTCAATTGGTGAATCGTCACATTTTTCATTAAATTCAAGATCTTTAATTTCGTTCTCCTGTTTTCCACTTATTTCATTTATAATTTTTTCTGTTTCATCTTCTTGATGCTTTTCCTTTTCATTTTCTGTCTCCTCAAATTCATTCTGTGAGTGTTCAATTTTTTCATGCTTAATTTCTTCTTTGTTTTTAATTTCTTCGTATTCATTTTCTTTGTCTTCAATACGAATTTCATCTTTTTCGTAGTGATCATTTTCATTGTACTCAATACGATTTCTTTCAATCTCTTCACTTTCTTTTTCCTGTAAATCGAGATTCTTTTGCTCAATTGATTCACAATCTAATATTTCATTTTGATGTTCTTTGTAGTCGATATCTTTATTTTCAATTGGTTCAAAATCATTTTCTGAGTGTTCAAATATTTTATTTTCAATATTTTTTCGTTCGATTTCTTCGTCTAAATCTTCTTTATATTGTTCTTCTACCTGATCTAATTTGTCGTATTCAATATTTTTAAAATCTTTTTCATCAAATTCGATTTCTTTATGTTTGATATCATCAATTTCTTTATGGATTATTTCTTTATCATTACAAAAATCTTCATTAATATTTTTTAACGATTCGTTTTGTAATTGATCCGCAATATTATCATTCACAGCCGGTATATTTTCTTCATGCATATTTTGATCAGTTAACTCTTGATTTTTCTCAATAATTAATTCAGATGGTATTTCATCATGATTTTCCAAATTCTGCGTTACTCCAAAATCTTCCAAATTACCAATTTCATTGGCATTAAAATCATTTGCGTTTGAAGTGTAGCCATTTGTTTGTTGTAAATTGTTATCATTAAATTCTTTAAGCAATTCATTTTCATCAATTATTTCACCTATTATGTCTTTATTTAATAAATCCGCAACGTCATTATTAATAGATTGTTGTTCTAAACTCAATGGTTCAGTGTGTTGATCATCTGAGCTTAGCATATTCATTGTATCATCAGAATATTGATTAATTACCTCTTCTGAATCTGGTGAAAACAATTGATTTGAATTTTCATTAATTTTTTCAGGTTGTTGATTTTTAAAGAAATCGTTATGATTCGGATCTAATACATCAGTTTTATTATCAAGAGGATTTATATAATCTAATGGTGCAGTTGAAGGATCTAAAGAATTCTCACAATTATCTGTTATTAAACCAGCATCATTAGCGAAATCAACACATGTTTCTGGCCCCAAATCATTATCATGCCCTTCTTTAGTAGCTATCATTTCTGTTGTAAAATCGTTGTCCAACACCTCATCATGAAGATATTCTGTATTATGTTTTTCATTATTTTCTATTTTATTGTTATTATCGTATTCATTATTCATAATATCATTTTGATTATTAAAATTCAAAGGAATTGTTGAATCTGTCAAATCTTGAATGAAATTATTAAGTCCATTATTCATTTGCTGTTTTACTTGTGTATCATTTAAAGGATCAAGTTTTGGAGAAAGTTCCTTTTGAAACATTTGCTGCTGATTTTCATTAAAAAAATTTTTTGTTTGATCATTTTGCAGATCAATTTGTTCATTGGATGTTTCGTCATGAAACTAAAAAAAAAAAAAAATATATGTATGTATAAAACTTTTCTAATTTAATAAAAATTTATAATTTACTCGTAACTTACCTGATCGGGATTATAACCTTCTCCAATATTAAATTCATGCACTGCTGAATCCATTATTCCAACTGATGTAGAATTTTTTGCTATTTGACAAGGATGCTTAAAAAATACAACAATCACAGTTATATTGTCAAAAGAGCCACCACTTTTTGCCTCTTCTATTAATAATTCTGGTATTTTCTTTAAATTTTCTGAAAAGAAAAAGCAAAATAAAAATCAAATAAGTGAAAATTTTGTTTTTCTTATTTATGCTATAAAAAAAAAAAATTTTATGTAGAAAGTAGACATTAAAAATAGTGAAATTAAGTACAACTTTTTGCCAAAATTATTCATACTATAAATTTTATATGAGATCTTGATGGATTAACAAATGCTTTTAAATTCCTTTCAAAACTTTTAATTATTTATAACGTTATACTTTTTAAAATTTGTGTTACTTATTTCAGAGTACTTATTATTTTAAAATAGAATGTATGATAATCTATAAAAATTAACAATTTGTTATTTACTTGTGTATGTAGAGTTTTCTTCTTAATTTTTAAATATAAGAATTGTAATTACAAACAAAAATACGTGATTAAAGTGTAAGGTACTGTGTGCGTTGCAGTAAAAGGAACAATAAAGTAAAAATTGCCTTTCATTTGGCTGTACTTAAAATAACAGATACTTGCAATTGCAGTTCATTCTATGTTTAAAATGATTTTCTCAATAAACTGACTTCATATTTTATATCATTCATTGCTATATTTGCAAATAGTACAATGTAGATTTTAATGTAGAATTTACAAGTGCACTAATGTATACTATAAATTTAAAAATTCTTTGTTTTAAAATTACCAATTGGTTGTAATATTGAACTGAAAATTTAAAATAAATCTTCTATACAAATTTCAACATGAAATTTAACTATGTATATTATTTGTCCAAATATAAAAAATAGCAGCAGCAGCCCCTAAATTATACAAATATTAGTTGTAAAATATCGACAACAAAGATCACAATATTGATTGCATTATCACAATTTGACTTGCAATATTGTATGTAAAGACGTACTTTACATTTATACGTGTATTTTTTATTTTTTCATTCATTCTATTTTAACATTTAATATTTAAAATATAAAAAAAATGTATAATTAATCTAATAATAATTAAAATGAAGAAAATAAAATGCAAATAAAACATAAAGTTTTTTTTTGTACTAGACTTTAAATAAAATGAATAAATTTTTATTAGCAAATTGAAAAAAAAAACAACTTATTGTGAAGATGAAAAATAATACGAAATATTGAAAATCAACTTTTTAAAGTAATAAATGCCATTTATATTTTTTTTTTCATTTCAATCCCATTTCATCGTTATATTCCATTAGTAATTTTATATGCCATGAAAATATGTCTATATGTGCTTGTATTTAGAAAAACGTACATTGAATGCTCGACTAGACAGTAAACTTTAAAATGATTTGTTTTCTGTAACAAAAAAAAAAAAGGAATGTAGATGAACTCTAAATCAAGTGTAGTAACTATGTATAGATAGATAATAACAGATATTTGTATGTAATATTTATATGAATATCGATTTTGTTTCTATAAGAAATACGCAATGTGTATACATATGTATGTATACGTACATGATATGTGCTTGGCTAGACGACGAACATGGAATTGCCAATTTAAAAGGAATAAGCATATTTTATTCTTATATTTAAAAAAAAACTAAACTTGCATTTGAAATTTCGCACTTTAAATAATTTTGAAATAAAAAGAAAAAGTAATTCTTATACTTACAAATAGTAAGTATAAGAATTACTTGAAATAGCCCGAATAATTAGCTAATTCAAAGTTCTAATGTAGGAAAATTTTTAAGAAAAAGGATTATGGACTAAAAATAAAATTTATTTTAAAAATTTTTTAACACAAATCGACTTTTAATAATAATTATTAATTAATTTGAATTTGAAAGGACAAAACATAATCGTTGGATACGAGCCAAAATATTTGGTGTTCTTCCCTCAAATCTATAATTTAAGCTCAAGTTTCATTAATTTGTCGAGTAATTTCCTTTACTTATACTCGTATTAAATATTAAAAATCATGATTATTTTAGTACAAGTGGTTTATTAACTAGGATAAGAAATTTGTTCTTGTTTTTTTTTTTGGGAAATAAATTTTTATTGTGTTATTTTTTAAGCATATTCAATTCTAATTCATTATTTATAAAAACAATATTGAAAAATTGTTTGAATATTGAATTTTAATAATGTAAGGGAAAATAATTTCAAATGATAAATTCATGTATACATTTCCAAAATTATTGACTACTCTAGAATTATTTATTTACTATTAAAAATAATTAAGTATTTTCCTATAGGATAACGATTATTTGGAGAAATCAATGATAATTTTTCCATTGAATATATTTTTTATAATAAAATATATTTTCTTATCATTGATTATGAAAGTCACATGCAGATATGTCTGTTTGTGAGTTGAAATTTTAGTTAAAAATAACATTCCGAATTATTAATTAAAATTTTTCATATTTATCGATAGGTCAAGACATGACTTTTAAGCATACTGAAAGATGGATGAATTTGGAAATTTCTCAAATATAATTTTTTATTCACGATTTTGCAAAGGCTTACAAGCACTGATCATAAATAGCATTACCTAAAAAATGTAATCTTAAAATAGATGGGGAAAACCCTACTTTTGACTGATAACCAACCATTATAAAATAACAAGTTAGAGTTAATTAAAATGTAAAGAGCTTGTAATTATACTTTTCACAATACCTATTACATTTTATACTTCATTTTGTACTGTTATATTAAATGACATTTCCAAAATCAAATTAAATTTTTTCACAATATTATACAGTGCGAATATATTATCAACTATTATAATATTAATGAAAGAATATACCATAGAGAATTGTGGTTTTTTTTTGATTAAAATAAAATTCAATACTTAATTTTACTTTTAAGATTTACTTTTATACCGCAATAACGCATATTTTGTTTAACATTATGTTACAGAGCATTGAGTGTGTAAAATAAGGGCGCAAAAAGTAAAAGTGTATTATTTATTTTTAAATTTTCCCATAATTTAGTAAAATGGAGTAACTTCATTTTTGTTTTCAACTTCAGTATTTTAATATTATATTTACAATATATAAAAGTGTTGAAATTCTGTGGTATTTTTTTAAGGGTGCAATATTTTTAAAAGAAGGTATAAATTACTAACTGAAGATTTTTTTTTTCAAATTTTAGCAATTTTCAAATACGTAATTTATAAAATTTTTCGAATCATATTGGTCATAACAATAATTTATTTTTATATTTTGCGCATATAAATTTTTTGGTAAATAATCATACGTATAACATGTTGGTTTTCATATACATATAAATATACTTAAGTAATAAAGAGCTTTGCATTTAAAAAAATAATCATAAAAAATTCATTCATTCACAAAAATTGTGCGTTTTCTTCAAAAAACTGAAGAGATTCCAAGTTTTTTTTTTACAAAATGTGTAAGAAAAGGTTTTCAATTTAACGATCAATTGTTATTGATTACAAATAATATGTTATTGTTTTTTGCAAAGTTATATCACCTACAACTCTAATGAATGATATTAATGAAAGGCGAATAAAAAATTAATTGTTATTCAATTACAATTAGTGTAATTTTTTAAATAGTATGCACTATTTACTTAGTGAGTTTTCTCATAATATCAACAAATTCTTTGAAAACTTTGAAAGTTTTCTAATTTTTATTTAGCTTTAAAAGCTAGATATACATATTTCATATTTAAGATGATTTTCATTTGAATATGAGAATTTGTTTTTTAAATAATCGCTCAGTCACAAAGTAGTAGTCAAGAAGTGAACCCCAGAAATCGATAACTTCTACTTCAATGTAAAAATTAGCCCAACCTCCCCACCTCCCTCACCTTCTCCCCAACAGCCAGTACACAGGAAAGCAAGGCGAGAATAATTGCCTAACCAAATTGAAGAAAATTAAAATACAAAGCACATGTTTATTGCAGCCTATTTTAGTCTATTTTAATTGGAATCTTATTTAACAGTTTTGATTTTATAATTTAAAAAAAAAAATTAAATCTCTTTATATGTATGTACAGTATGAGAAGAAAAAATTTTAATTTAATTTTTTTCCCTTAATTTATGGGTCATTAGACAAATTATTATACAAAAATTTTATAATCAAATTTTTTAATTAAATTGACATTCCAGAACAAATTTAGAGAATAAATTTTCAAACTTTATAATGTGTACATTTGTATGTATATGTCCATTATGTAAAATAATAAATAATTGTAAATAATTGTATTTAATTACCCTAAATTGAATAAATTACTAAAATTATAAAATGTGTACAGATTAAGCAATAACAAAATTTCTTTCCAATTGAAATTATTGAAATATTATAAGAGAGTCAGAGATTATTTTAACATCATAAAGTAAATTAAAAAAAAAAAATAATTTTCCTAAATAATTCCGTACAATGACTGATTATTAACAGAGTCGCCAGGTAGACTGAATAATTTTATTCTCCCCTATTTTTTTTTTTAAATTTTATTCTACTACTGATGTAGATGTTAAGTATATAAACACATTTAATATTTTTTTGAAAATATTAAACGAAAAATTTGGAATCCGGATGACATCATATTCAAAAAAGTTTAAATTTCTGTAAATACCTATGAATTATAGGTATGGATGTATGTATACAATTATATACAAATGTGTATATTTTGTCTACTTTTCTCAATTTGGTTTAATAATTATATATACAATATACTTATGTACATAACCAAAAATATATAATATAATAAAATATAGAAGTAAATAAATGTATTTTTTTTTTGTCAAATACATACAGATAAAATTTATGACTTGCAATGACTAATAATAGAATAAAGTTTCAAAAAAAAAAAATGACACAAAAAAAAATCAAATGATTTTTATTACTTGATTGTTATTGAACTTTTTGTCGTGCTGTGGTTGTCTTAAGTTCTTAATATTCGTAATATTTTGTTCATAAAAGGTCAAGTTTGATTGAAAAATTATGTCTTTCCATTTTTTGATAATATTTATTATGTACTTACATATTATGTACATATACTCAAAAATTTAATTTGTAAGAATGTTTAATCGAATACTAAATCA